AGAACCTGAACAAAACCTGAACAGAACCTGAACACAACCTGAACACAACCTGAACACAACCTGAACACAACCTGAACAGAACCTGAACAAAACCTGAACAGAACCTGAACACAACCTGAACAGAACCTGCCTCCCGTCTCACCTGGTCTGACGGTGACGTTGACGTAGCCCCGCCCAAAAGCGCTGTCCCCGTCCGTCACCGTCACCTCGAACTCGTACAGGCCCACTGTTAGCTGGGTGGGGGGAAGAGGAGGTCAGACAGGACCAGAACCAGAACCAGGACCTGAACCAGGTTCAGAACCAGAGCCTGAGCACCTCGCTGAGCTTCAGTGTTTGTCCCTTGTTGCCCTCCACCTGTGCGCTGTAATCTCTGGGATGCGTCTTCAGCTGCCAGTCGAAGGCGTAGCTGCTTCCTGCAGAGAACCAGACGTGGAGCATCATGGAGGGAAGCTCCGCTCCTCTCCACGATGCCCTGCCTCCAGGTGAGACCTTACCTGGTTGGGGTGTCGGGACCACGTAGGCGTTGAGCTCCACCTCGTTCCGCGGCAGCGTCACCTCCACGCTCTCTCCGGCCGAAACCACCAACTCCCTGACTGCAGGAGGAGAGCAGGACCAGTGAGCGGCACGGTGCGTTCGCTGACCCTCAGAAACCACAGTTCCACAGCGGTTTACGAAAACGAAGAAAAAAAGTTACGCCAAAAAAAACATCACAAGTTGCTCAACATTCCTGATTTTAACTATTTATCATGTTTCGTGTTGGAGTTCTCATGAAATTACTATTTTATTCTCTTAAAATTCCCAAAAATTAAATGTATTTAATGACGGATTAATGGCTGCATGTTTGTGCTGCAGCTGCTGCAGCAGCAGATGCAACATCGGTTAGCTCCATGAATCTGTTAGGTGGAGGAGTTTGTTCCGACTGCAGCTGATTGTTTCTGGTTTCCTGATATTTGTTCGGCTCACAGGAACTGATAACTCAGTTCTTCCTGTTTGCAGAGCCTCGGAGCGCCGCGCTGCATTCCAGCTGTCGACACTAAAACACCTCAGGATCTGGGAAAACCGCAGCTGACCTGCGGCGGGGGGGCAAAGTCCACACTCCCACCTGCAGGTCATGTGACGCCCCTGCTGCCTCTCACCTGCTGGGGGCGGAGCCTCAGCCGTGTAGTTGGAGGACGCGGTGGGATCGACGGTGGCGTTCTGCGGCGGCAAAACGGGAACGCCGTCTGAGCTGCCATTGGCCGGCAGGCTGAGGTTCTGCTGGGCGGTCGGCGGCAGACTAGAGCTGCTGGGAGCTGTGGGAGCGGCGCGCAGCGTCTCCTGCACACACAGATTCATGAATGAAACAGATCAGAACCAGAACAGAACCGGAATCTGATGATGGAGCGTTGTTCTGTGGCGTTACCATGGTGATGAAGCTGCGTCTTCCAGCATGTCGAGGATTCCTGCGCTTCATCCTGGCCGGACCCTGCAGGAGGAAATAAACGAGTCAGGAAACGGGTTTAAGATTTCATTTTGGGAAATCTGGATGTTTTTGGGTTTCAGTGATGTCATCGCGCCCGGGGCGGCCATCTTGACAATCATGTTCTCTTATTTACACTTTGAATTCAGGTGGAATATTAGAGCCAGTTCATGATTTTAAATTTAATTACAAGGAAAAAGTCACAACTGTACATGAATAAAATAGCATAACAAAAAAGTCATTATGAGAAAAAAAAGTTTTTATGACTTTTGAACACCTGGTGAAATTATACTTTGGAGTTAAGAGTAACGGCCGGGATAAAAAGAGGAAAAAGTCGTAATGTTTGGTGAATAAAGTACATTTTATAATAACGCAGACACAAAAATGAAAAATTAAAATGACTAATGTTGAGCATGTGTGAAATTATATTTTCATGTTGGTTTAATTAAATACTTTTGTCACATCAGCATCAAATTTGAAACGACTGAATCTTTTTTGGAAGAAAAATCACAAAGTGATGTTTGGAACTCCAGAAGCTTTTTTCTCATTAAAACTTTTATTTTCTGGTAAATTTGCTAATATTATGACTTTATTCTTGTAATCAAACTAATTTCCTCCCAGCCCGGCCCTCAGCCACCTTGGCCAGCAGCTGCAGCAGCCCCAGCGACTCTTGGTGCGGCTGCGGCAGGGCGGAGATGCCGCAGCCGTCCGTCCTGGAGCAGCCCAGCAGCACGCAGCGCCCGCCGACGCTCCACACGGCGCCGCAGCCCGGCCGCAGGCAGCACGTCTCCCAGCAGGTGGCGCCGCCTTGGCCGGACGCCAGCGGGAACCAGCCCAGGCTCAGGGTGCTGCTCCAGTGGATCCCCAGGACACCGCCGGAGACCCGGCAAAGGGCGGCCGCCTGGCCTGGAGGAGGAGTCAAAGGGTCAAAGGTCGCAATTCACCCCACACGCAGCAGAAGAATCCAGACGGAGAATCTAAACGATTCTGAAAATAACGCAGTAATGAAAGCAGTCAGTGAACGCATCACGTTCCAAACACATCCGACTCCACGTCCAGTCAGAACCGGGTCAGAACCGGGTCAGAATGGCTAAGAACCAGCAAAGAACCGAGTCAGAACTGTCTGTTTTATTTTGTTTATGAATTTTTTGTGTTTTAAATAAAGCTACTGGAAAAACCAAGGGGCTGTGACAAGAGGAAACAGAACTGCTGCGTCTTCACCCACTTCAAAATAAGAGCATGAGCATAAACGTTGATAACCCAAACTTGTCAAAATTTCTTCAACTGAAAGTTTATCAAACAGCCAATTAAATTTGTGCTTAGAATTTATCTAGAAACGTTAATAATGGGAAAGATAAACGTTAGCAAAGAAGCTAAAGTGCTAACATGCTAATAGCTATTAGCGTATTAGCAGCCATCACTGGTTAAACAGCTTAAACAGAAACCTTCGGTTCTGTCTCCTGGTGGGACAGATGGACTGAGGACGGCCCAACTGGACCTTTGGTTGCTGTGGCAACGTGATGGGGCCAGAGCGGAGGGCAACGCCACACAAAGCCCTGCGTTCATCTGTCCGCCATGTTGGCTGGCTTACCTGTGGGCGGAGCCAGGAACCACAGGCGGGCCAGCAGCAGCAGGTGAGGCCAGCGCCAGCCGAGCAGGTCCGGAGGGCCGCCGGACATTTTCCACCTGGTACCAGAACCTGCAGGAGGAACGGAGACAAACATCCAGAACCGGACCGGAACCAGAACCGCTCCAAAACAACAGATCACATTTCATCTAAATTATTCAAAGAAATGAAAGGGATGAAATAAAATATTATAAAAACATTTTTTACAAAAAATAAATAATAAAAAAGCTAAAGATCAAATAAGGTTCAATTTTGTATTTAATCTTTGCTGAAGAGAAAAAAAAAATCATAATATTATTAGAATAAAGACAAAAATACCAGAAGAAATGTGCAAAGAAAACAGTGAATTAAGTGGGACAGACAGATAATTAAAAGATGAAATGTTTTCCTCATTTTGATTTTCCAATATTTTTCATGTTGGAGTTAAAATTATTACTTTATTCTCCAAATATTACAATTTCTTTCCTGTATTGTTACAATTTTATTTTCATATTATGATTTTGTTGTTGGCCCTAATATTCTGTCATGAAATTTAAATTATTCTTTTTATAATAAAGAAAAATAACATTAGAAATATTTAGTAAATAAATATAATGAAGACATGCATTAATTAAAAAATAATTAAATGTAAATAAACTATAAATTACAACACAACAAATTATACATAAAAGTACAATTTAATGATTAAAAGTTACATTTGAATAAATTTACAAATAAAACTAAATATGATAAAATAGATGAAAGATGAAATAAATATTTATCTTGTAAATGTTTCCTGGATAATCAGCTGCTCACCTGGTTCTGGTTCTGGTTCTGGTTCCGGGACAGAAGAGCAGATGAAGATGAGGAAGAGGAGTTAGGTTGGCAGTGAGCTGCAGTGAGGCGACGGGTGAAGACGGGTCGACACCAGAACCCTGACCACCAGATCCAACATGGCCGCCTCAGGAGGCTCTGGCGCCGCGCTGCGGAGCAAAACATCGGATCAGCAGGGAACCAGAACCACCCGGTTCCGACTGCAGGTCCAAACCATTCGGGCCCTTCAGGGCCACCGTAGTGTTGCAGTCAGAGCAACGGTAAGGTGAGCTGTAGAGAACTGCAGAACCAAACCCACAGGTTCTGATCCGGGCGTCGTCATGGCAACGAGTAACAACGTCACAGTCACATGGTCCTCTAACCACAGAGAAGAAAACATATAAAATTTTATCTGACATTTTTCATCATAATTTCTGTTTCGTTAGATAAAAGAAAAGTTCAAATCATTTCTGATTTTCTGATTGGCTGATAGATTCATGAAGCTGCTTTTCTCCTCAACAAAGAAATGGAAAAGTTTCTGTCAAAAAAACACCAGAGGAGCTGCAAACACTGAAGAACCGTGGGAATAAAACTACACTTGATTCATATCTTAATCAAATTTTAAATTTACTATTAAAATACTAGACTATCTAGTTTATATAATTTGGATCAACATTATTAACTTTTTCTGCTTTTGCTCTTGTTGCTGAAAATGTGCTATAGAAATAAAATGAGCTTTACAATATTACATTTATACAATCAAGACTGTGTTGAAAATGTGTATTGTTTGTTAATAAAGGCATAATGTATTATCTGATAATGGTCTAAAATCAGATGGAATTAGGTTATTTATGCTGAACAAATGTCATAATTATTGAATGGCTTTATATATTATTTATTATAATTACTTATTTTTAGTTTATATTTCTTTAAATATTTTCTAATCTCTGTGGGTTTACAAAGAGGTCAGAGGTTAAAGCTGTTTGGAGTCATGGCATGGAAATGTTTGGGAACCCCTGAGCTAACCTTCAACCGGATCCAACTGGGTCAGCAACAGAACCACGACCTGAACACAGCAGCAGAGCTACAACGAAACCAGGCCTAGTCAAAGTCCAGAGCTCAGCCTGGGGCGGGACCTCTGCCAGTGTTTACTCTTCTTCTTCAGTGAATATCCTGCGGGAGCGTGACGGTGAGGTTGTCTCGACCAGAACAGCAGAACTCAGACTGGGCCGGGCCGGGTCTGAGTCTGTCAGCAGAATTAAAACTGGTTTTGCTTTGAGCTCCTGCAGCCGGTTCTGTTTCCGGTCCGGTGATCCGGGCCCGATCCCGCCGCACGGTTCTGTCTCCTTTCTGATATTTGTTTCCTGCTGCAGTTCTGCTGGCAGCTTTTCACATGCTTCTAGTTTCTGCACTTCCTCCTCTGCAGAGTCTGCTTCTGCCAGAGATCCAACACTTAATGAGTCAGTTTTAAACCACAGCTTTTGTCCTAATTAAAGTCAGAGAAAAGCTGAACACAGTCAGAGGTTCTGCAGGAAGAATCCCTGATTGTGTTTGAAGCAGAAGCAGAACCGGTCCAAAAGGGCGGAGGCAGCCTGGAGGCGGTTTGGTCACATTCCTTCATTCTGGATTAAATAAAAAATGTAGCGGGAAAGTTTCTGAGGAAATCCAACCTGGATCTGCCAAAGGTTGAACCGAATCAGAGGTTCTGAGGCTTAGTTTGGTTCTGTAGGCCTCAAGTTTCAGCTTCAAAGCCAAAACAGCCACAAACAACATGAGGGCTGTTTTGATTCCATGTCAGGAGAATTTCCAGAATTAGCTAAAATGCTGTTGGTTAGCATGCAGGCTATCACTAGTAGCTATCACTTTATCAAAATGAATTATATTATTAGCATGATTGCTATAACTAGCATGTTGACCTCCAGTGAAAATAGCTACAATTCTAAGGTTAGCTAAAATGACATCAGTAGCACATGGGCCGTATCACAATCATGTCGACAAACTCCAACTTACTCAGGATGCTAACTCCTGTTTTTATATCAAATGAGCCTAAATGTTAATTAATTTTTGCTAATATACTAACATAAACAGGCTATACCTAGCATGTTGACATGCACTAACAGTCCATCTAGTATACAAACAGTAAAGTGTAGCTAAAATTAGCTAAAATGCTAATGTTAGCTTAAATGCTACCATTAGTATGTGGGCTATCACTAGCATGTTTTACTTAATGTAATTAGAATGTAGATAACAGTTTATCTTACATCTTCCAACAGCAGGATGTAAGATAAAACACTGAAGATTAGCATGTTGACTATTATGTTACGTTTAGCTCAAAATGAACTACAACACTACTGTTAGCTTAACTGCTACCGTTAGTATGTGTGTAATACTAACATTGACTTTCTGCATTTGGTAAACAAACATTAGTTAATGAGCTAAAATGAATTGAAATGCTGCCGATTATGTTGGCTAACATCTACAAAACAATGGAAAGCTAATGTCAACAGTGGAAAATACAGTAATGAAGAAGCAATAAGAGGTTAGCCCTGAGGGGCCCCAGCACTGAGCCCTGAGGTGCCCCAACACTGAGCCCTGAGGGGTCCCTGTGGAGGTCTCTGTAGACTCAGAGCTCTTCTGCACCAAACCAGCTGAAGGTCCCTTCATGAGTCCAGATCAGAACCCTGAGACCTGACAGAACCCGGCTGGTCCTCCGAGTCCGGACCAGAACCTGAAGCTGGGTCTGCATTCAGCTCGAACCGGCCCACGACGGGAATAAACTGGAGGAATTTCCGACAATGTGGAGGGATCGTTCACCGTGGATCTGACATGCGTGTAAACATCAGTCCGCAGTCACAGCGGGACGGCCGGAGCCGCCGGAGGAGCGTGGGCAGGCCGCCGTGGAATGGGTCGGGTTTGCTGCAGCAGTTTGGCGCTGACAGCCCGGTACCGCAGGTTCGGTGAGGCTTACCTGTCTAATCCGGATTCAGTCGAGCTGAGGCACCTTCAGGCTAACAGCTGCGGTCATCTCTCCAGGAACCGGGGCTAGATCCGGAGCTCCGTCCCGGTTCGGGTGTTCTGCCAGCTGTGAGGCCGCCTCCCAGGGTTCGGTAGCGGAGATGTGCCGCTGGTTCTGGCCCTCTGCACTGTAAAGTGGGTCAGAGCGGATCTGTACAGCTGATGAGTGACGGATCAACGATATAAAACACAACTTCCGGTGGAGGGAATTTCAACTTAAAAGTCTGAAAGGAATCAAATGAAGAGAACAGTTCGAGTTGAAATACTTTCCTCGGGATGGACTCGTTACAGGTTCGGTTCTGTTATGTTACCAGTCAAACTGTGGGTTTAAATCTTCATTTACCTGAATATAAACGAACTTTAATCAGATTTCCTCTTTGCGCCACCTGGCGACAGCTTGGCGCTACTATACCAACTCGGTTTAAGGGAGGGATGCTGTACTCTGCTCTGATTGGCTGTTTCCTTAAAAGGTGAATGATGACGTACTTGGAAGTTAAAGTATGGAAAACCATTTTGATCAATACTTTTAAAAGTCATTGAGACCAATCCATAACATGCAGCTGATTATTTATTTAGCTTTAGCTTTAATCAGTCCGTTACAGATACCAGAGCGAACCCTGGACCCACAGTCAGACATGGCAGTGTTGTTAAGAAAGATAATGGTTTTAGAGAGAATACCTGCCAACGCCATGCAGAAAGGTCACTGGGCAGGATTCAAACCTACAACCCTGACAGCAAATCCGCCCTCCAGCCTTTATGTTATTGAGTTCAATAACATATTGCCTAGTAAAACCGGAGGACCGGGTGGATCCAGTTATACAACCTTCCACTGACTGATTCTCTACTCAGAAATCATTTAACTCCTCAGATTATGGGCAGTAGATAAGGCTGAATAAGAGTCACAGGTTGCATCTCTTACAATCAGCCGGCAGATCACCTAGGAAGAAATGACGACAAGGTGGTGTGGGAGGAGATTACCTCTAGAACACCGCACTCCCCTGTGGGAGCGGGTTACTGAAGTATATGACGTCATCAATCACTGTAGATGTATTTTTAAAAAAGGTATTAATAAAAATATAAACACTGGAAACCCAAACCACTGCGTGGAATACCACGCTTCAACGTTTCTGTCTCCGGCTGACGCGCCGGCTGTGAAACGATGCACACGCAGTCAATGCCTCGTTTTCACGGCGCGGCTTAAAATGGCGCCCTCACTACGCAACAAACCCTGATCTGATTGGTTCCCCGCGATTGTTAGCGGGTTTTTATTGGTTTCTGGTAGTTTATTTTGATACAGGAGGATTTAGAAGCTGCTGTGCTGCGTCTGGAAACAGCTGACACCTCACTAAGGTGGTTTAAGAGTCTCCCTGCTATCGGGTTTTACATTTTCAGCTGACTTCAAACTACTGTTGCTGGTTGCCAGGGTTACCATGGGTGACCAAGCGGCAGATGAAGAGGAGCAGGGAGCAGCAGGAGGAAGGTGTCTCAGTGAAGCCCAGACACAGGTGTTGGACAGGTGTCTGCACGCGCTCAGGCACGCGAAGAATGACAGCCAGACGTTAGCTGCTCTGCTGCTGGTGAGTCTCAGCCTGCCGAGGTTAATTCAGCCGTCCGTAAAGACTAGCTTCGCGCATACATGGTGTATTACGGTAATACAACAGAAGGCGGTAGTGGAGTCCCGGCAGCCAATCAGCTGCGTTATAGACCGGAAACACTCACAGATAAACATCCAGAGAATGGTCCTTCAAAATGAAAGTTTTGTTTCATTTGAATTTTATTTCAATTTATTGCTCCTTTGTTTGGTCCAATACATCATGAAGCAATTATTTAAAAATTAAAACTGGTTCAAATGGCTCTTAAATGTGGCATTAGGATAAATGTGGCTAAAATCCATGGTCACCTTTTTATAAATAATGTTAATAACATTATTACAGTAAAACCTCCATCTACGTTTTAACAAAAACTGATAACCGTGCTAACTGGACCTGGTTCTGATTCGGCTCTGACCTGGCTGTGTCTCCCTCAGATAACGCGGCTGTGCCCGGCCAGCCAGCTGGACCCGGCCACCATGCGGCAGGTGTTTGAGGCGGTGGGCCTGGCCCTCCCGGCCCGGCTGCTGGTCACGGCTCTGCGGGACGCCGGGGGGGCAGGACTTCCTCCCCAGGAGCTGCTGTCTCTGGGCGCCGCCCTGCTGGCCGCCCTCAGCACCGACCCCAACATGGCCGCCCGGCCCCAGCTGCTCGCCACCGTGCCGCTGCTGCTGAGCCTGCTGGCCGACGCACCGGGATCGCAGCAGCAGAACCGGGCCGAGGCGGGTCCGGAGACCCGCCCCAGAGGGAGCGGAGGAGAGGGGGAGGAGAGCAGGAGGTCAGAGGTCAAATCTCTGGACGAAGCCGTGGTAGCGGACTGCTTCCAGGTTCTGACGACCGTGTTAGGACTTCTCCGAGGCCCGGAGCGGCTCCTGGCCCAGGGCGCGGTACCGGCCCTGTGCCGGGCCACGGGTCAGAACCGCTGCCACCAGAGGGCGCTGTCGCTGCTGGGCTGCCTGCTGTCCAGAACCAGAGAGGAAGCCTGGCGCAGACACCCGGCAGAACTCCTCTCTCTGCTCCTCGGGCTCTGCTCGGAGTTCTGCCGGGCCTCGGACCCGACCCGGCTCCAGATGTGCACCCAGCTGGTGCGGTTCCTGCCGCCGCCAGAGGCGGCGCAGCAGAGCGCGGAGCTTAGAGAGGCAGTGGGCAGAGTGTGGGCGGCGCTGAGACCCACGCTGCAGGCCAAGCTGACGCCCAAACAGATTGGGCCGGTTCTGGTTCTGAGCGCCTGCTTACTGGACCTGTATGGCTGGGAGTCGGTGGGTCCGGCCCGGTTCTGCTGCCTGCTGGTGAACCGGGCCTGCGTGGAGGTCCGGATGGGCCTGGAAGAACCACCTGGGAACGATCCGAGTCCAGAGCTGCAGAACACGCTGACAGGTAGTGTCCGGTTCTACCGGGTCACCGGGTCCGACTTCCTTCTGGTCCAGAACCAGAACTTGGTGTAAAGAGTCGTTAAGTTCTGGTTCAACGGAACTCAACGTTGAAGTATTTAAAATAAATACTATAGATAGAGAAATAAATTCTTCTACTTCTCTAATAAAGAACCGACTGTTGGTTCTATTTTTTAGATGTTAGTGAGTTTCTAACATCAGGTCAGGCCTGGAACAGTGTTTGTGTTTTAGATCAGTGTTTTTCAACCTTTTCTGAGCCAAGGTACATTATTTTAATTGAAAAAATCAGGAGGCACACCACCAACCAAAAATG